CCAGCCCCATAAACTGTGTTAATGCAACTCTGTGACAGTTTAATTAAAAAACAACAAAGTCAAACACAAATCCTCCATCATCTTCCTACTGCCCCACGCCCCAACCAAAAGATAGTGTGGAGCGATATCTAACCAGTCTTTACTGTTTGTCACTGTCTGATCTCACTGTGTTAGAGRTGTGGCAGCATTACTTCATTATTCTTTTTAATCAAAGAAATTCTGAAAATATTTCTCAGCATTTACATTACTCTGTAAAAAAGGCAACCTGAAGAAATGCCTGACCTTTTGTAGCACCCTTAGGCAGAGGAGGATGAGGATCACCTATCAAAACGTGGTCCAGTGTGTCCAGCAGTGCAGGCAGAAGCTGGATGTCCTTGGGGTTTTTCAGAGAAATTGAAGTTTGGGCAGCGTTCCCAGGATCACTGTGATGATAAGAATGTGCATCCCTAGTTTTGAGAGCCAAACGRTCAAATTTTATTGTTACTTCCATCCACAGAAGGCAAATTATTTGCCAGATGATAGGGCCCAGCAAGGCTTGAAGCATGTTGAGAAAGTTGGCTATGAATTTTTTCTGGTGGCTAAAAAGCATGGGGCCATTTTGTGTTCATTTTCTCATTCTGTATTAATCTTGAGGGTAATATGTCTATTTTGRAACTGCACAAGTTTGGGGACTTCTCTGTATTGTCCAAGGTATCAGCTCCCCGGAGCGGTGGATGAAGAGCTTCCCGCCGGGAGTGTGGAGACGGCTTCCAGGGCGCAGCAGCTGCAGGAGACGGGCATTGCGGTGCCCTTCACACGGCTCCAAATGATGTAGCCAAAATAAAACGTTTAGCCTATCCTCAAAGAAATCAAAAGGCTTAAGCTCCTTTTACTATAGGAAATGGTGTCTGCCAAGACTAAGTGAGAGCCTGGTGGAATTTTCTGCCCCTCCTGCCAAGGCAGGCTTTCAGTGTGGGTCTARGTCACTGTTGTAAGAGGTTTATATCTGGATTCTCATACAGGGAATTTCTTGTGTGATGAGACATGCTGGAGGCTGCTGTGAGGCTCACAGGATGGTTGAAGTTGGAAGGGTCCYCTAGAGATGAGCAAGTCCAGCCTTCTGCTTCCAGCAGGTCACCTAGAGCAGATTGCCCAGGACCCCATGCCTTGGAATGCAAGAAGGAGGCCTCAACACTGGCATACAAGAAGTTAAGAAGTTTTTCTCATGTTTAGATGGAACATCCTGTGTTTCGGTCTGTGCTTGTTGCCTCTCATCCCATTACTGGGCAGAAAGAGAAGTCTCTGACCTTGTCTTACATCCTCCCCTCGGATATTTAAATGCAGTGGTAAAATCCTTCCGCAGTCTTCTCCAGTCTCTCTTTTTTCCATGTCTTGTTTGGTGTCCAGAGGCTGAAAAGCAATATGCCTGCGTCCAGTTTTATGTGGAGGTCCCATAGTTTTTGGAAGGGCTGTTTGCTGAACAAGGTTTTCTTGCACTTTTCCTTCATTATTCTACAGACAAAACCRTCAAGCCCCCAGCGCACCACGAACAAGACAGTATGAGCTCTTCCAGCCACAGCGTTGGCATGCAGCAGGGGCATTTGTGCGTGTTCMTTACATTGAGAAGGTTTCTGTTAGGAAATTCCTATCCTTGAATAGGAACGTGAGGTTTGAAGTAGGAACTGAACGTTATGGCTGCTTTCTTTTGAAAATTCTGCCCAAATTTGGCAGCCCCGGCAGCCTCGGCCGCGTAGCTGGGGCTCCCTGAAACCCCCCCAGCTTTTTGTGGCTCTGGGCAGCTGCCGCAGCGGCACTCGTGGGGTGGGTAGCCCCCTGAGGTAACTGCCTGACACCCTGGGCCGTTTGCTGTGTGAACAGGTTTCCAGCAAGAAGCCTTTTATTTAAGACTAGCTGTACCCTAAAATGGGCAGTTTGCTTCAGAAACTGCTGCTGTCTCTTGTTGAGAGAATCACCTGCTTGCCACGAACCTCGGTGCACCTCACAGGGATGAGCTGCCCAGGCCAGCYGCGTCCTCCTGCTCTGCTCTGCTCCCAGCCCAATCCCAGGTGCTCCAGGTCCCTGCTTCCATTGCTTCCATTTTCTCCTTTACTTGTTTGTCTGATACTATCCRGACCCGTGTCTGTCATATGACCTGCATTTACAGGAGCTTTAGAAAAGGTTCTACTTCTCACACCTGAGTTAAGCTGTGATTAGCTGAACAGTTAAACCTGTCACTGAAACCCCAGTGATGGGAGGAGGGAAGAGACTGGGGAGGAGGTAGCTGGACATTGGGGTGAGTTGAGCAKTTAGCCTATAAAATGTAACAAGTCTTTGCATGATCATGTGTTTAACAGCTAGATTACCTGCAATTAGGTTACTTTTGTGAAGATTACTTTGCAAATTTATGTTCCTTAAATACATAATATATTGCAATTAAAACACACACCTGATTTACAGATGCATTTGTGCTTGGTAGTATTTCTCATTAAATGCCATCTCAAATAAAGACACCAAATATTTTGAAGCACCAATTCATTAGTAACAGAGCATTTTGGATAACTGTATAACATACATCAACTGATTTTTATAAAATTAAGTAGTATCTCTTGTTGATGAAGTAGGCTGTAATACAGTGAGGTCACTCGCATAAATAAGTAGTTATTCTTAAGTTCACCTTCATCTCTTCTGAAAGTTTTAGAGTTTGCCCTTTCAAAAAAAGGAGGGATGAGTTTGGTGCCGATGGAGTGGTTTGGTAAGTGATGGAGGAGGCTGCATTCCCAGCCTCGTTCCCAGGTGATGAGGAGCAATAAGAGCAGATCTGCCAGGCACGGAGAACCTGACATCCATGCTATAGAGGTTGTGAGGGCTTCATTTCCGCCCAGTTTTAGTTCGATTCTGTGTCAGAATTCCTGCTAGTTCTTGCAGCATGTGCTGAGCACTCCAGAAGGTCGATCTCTCATCTAGTTTTGGTCAAAAGAAGCCTGGTTTGTGTGTTTGGCAACTGCTTTGCCGTGAAAAGGGTGTATGGGAGAGGGACCCCAAAACTGCACYCCTATTTTGAGTTGAAATGCTGGTGTAGACATACCCACGGTTGTGCAGATCAGTCACATCGATGATCCTACCAAAACACTGTTTTAGTGATCCTAGATAGCTGACAAATAGGAGCAGGAAATGCAATATTATTTACGAGAGTTAACAGCTATTAAAMATTTCTTCAACTTGGTAGTTTGGAGAAAGTATCAAGATGGCAACGTAAACACCATTTCTGGTGTTTGGAAATACCTTTGCCCTTGTCAAGCTGCCTATTCAAATTATACAAAGTAGCCTTTGTGTAAATTAGATACAGGGAATGTGGTGGCACAGGACAAAGGGAAAGTACATCCAGCTTTTTTTCTGCTTATAGTAGCTTGTTTTGGAGCCTGGCAGAAGATTAACTCTATTCTTTGATTATGTATAAAGAGATGTATTTAGTTGGTAGATTTTTTTACCAGCTTAGTTTAGAAAAGCAAAAAAACCCAACCCCACAGACACCTTTGCATGACAAGCATGTTTTTTTCATTTTTACCACGGAAGAAGCAAGTCCAGTGTCAGCCTGTCTGCTCAGTGGAGACAGTTGTCTTTAAGAACTAGTGCTATGTGATATTCAGGCTGGTTTCAGGTTGCCTGTTTTAAACAGATTTATTATTTATTACCAAGACTATTAAACCACAGTGTGTTGGGAACAGTGCTTATAAATGGACATGGAGACAGAAGTATTCTGACCTTCCCGCAATGGGAAAGGTCCTCCTGGAGTTTGAGGAGGGAAAGCAAAGAAAAACAGACGCTGAAATTCTTCCTTTGCTGGAAATCACTTAGGCATCCGTTTCATCCACCCCTGTTCCCATACTGTCAGCGCTGGCATGCAAAAATAAGGCATTAATCCTCCAGTTTGTAAGACTGGCTTATACGCTTTTTTTTAACAATGCATCTAGTAAGTGATATTTAAGTCTGTTTTACTTTCAAGGCTTTACTAGCATGCATAAAAGTAAGACTTCTTAATGATAAACATCTTCTGTGGTCTTATTGATGGCCTCAGATAATGGAAACACTCAAAAGTCGTAGCATTGGGACTAAATGGGGAACGTTGATCAGACCGGGCTACAAGTATTAAAGCTGGTATGCTCAAATGAGCTTGTCCGAAACATGCTTGAAAACAGTGAGATTGACACAAGTCAGGTTGGTTCACTATGTCGGTAATTTACTGTTTTCCTGTAATGCTTGGGTCTATGCCATTTAGAAAAAGAAAAATCCAGCCCACCCTCCTTGGGATACTTCTCCAGCTCCTTGGCTTGCTTCTCMTTCCCAGGAGCGCTCGTGCCTGTGTGTGGCTACAGCAGCCCCTGGTTGTTTCTCAGGATCTTGTAGCTCCTTGTCTGGTGGAACTAATGCAGTGGTTCCAGGTTTTTTTTTGCAATTCCAGGGAAGTTGCAATCTCCTGTAGATTCTCTGATATCTAATGAAGATTAGTTTGTACATTGTCTTCTTTTCCTATAGGTGTTGCAAACAATGTGCCCTCTACTGTGGTGCCTGTATTAAAAATATTGGTAGAAATCTTAATATTTGAGGCTTGTGAACCTGTTGGTACTGGCTAGATGAAGTCAGGAGTTACTGGAGGAGGTCAGGAATATTAGCAAATGGAAAAGCCTTAGTTTCTTGGGAAAACCATTCACATGCATTTTGAACAACCTTCTTTCCCCCTCACCATCTCCCTTTCATGTGAGTCATGCATCTTTCAGTGTTTGTGTGGATAATGTCATGGTAGGTTTTAAATAAACTCATTTTTAAATCCCTTTTAGTATCAGTATTTTACAAGTGCACCACAACCGTAGACTATTAGAAATGCAGGAATCTGGTAAATTTTACCTAGAAGCAGTTCGTAATAGCCACTGGGTTCCAAAATGCACCATATACACCATAAATTGTCATTGCATTTTTTTCTGTTAACTCTTAACTCAAATACCCTTTCTGTTTTTACAGATTAATAGAAATATGCATTTCCATAATACCGCATTTGAATTAATGAAGTGGAAGTACAGATGAAAGCAGTCTGGAGGAAGCTTGAAGTACAGTACAGTTTTGTTCAGTTTCTTAATTCTGAGGTAAGGATAATGCTTACAAATCTTCATTTTCTCYGTTTCAGAGGTAAAAAGAAATGTGATAAGCACCCATGTTTTCTTCTTAAAAAGAACAAGCTTCATGTTGGTGACAATAATTAATGTCTTGCCAAAAAATCAGCTGTTGAAGATTGAATGTTCAGGGGCCATGTGCACAGTAAGAGAAGGCTGTTTTAGGAACTGTTTGTAGCACTAAGTAGCCTCATTGACCTGTCTGCTGTGAGCAGCAGAGCCACATCAGTCATTGCGAGGAATTAACAATGTGTTAATAGGGGTTTTATAGGACCGAAAAAAGGACTATAAAAATATGCATGCATATATTTATATGCCTCTTCTCCACTGTTTTCTTTGTAGCAATAGTATTAGCAATAGTTGGGGGGGTTTATGCTTTCCTTATATGTCAGTTGTTGGTCTGGTAAAAAAGCCACAGGTCATTTGGGTCTTTTTTTTTTCCCTTTGCCTAGGTATCTTCTGATARCTTTATATTTTAGCAAGGAGAATAAGTTGAGTGTCTCAGAATATTTAAAAAAACAAAAAGATAAAAGAAGAAAAAAAGAAGTTACCAAGATTGTAAAGAAAAAAAAGAATTTAAATACTTATAAATACTGGGTAGAAACTGAATAATGTGTTGCACTGGTGTAACATCCCGGATACGTTTCTGAGAAATGGGTGATATTACATTTATAGCCTGACCAGCTTTCACTTGAAATTTCTGAAGCCATTTATAGTTTTGCAATGCACAAAATGCTGCACAAGTGAGTGCTCTAGTTTCAAACATACATAGCACAGTAGAGTTGTGCTATCGGAAACGGCTCTCTGATAACTTCCTGGCCAGTGGTGTATGTGGTTGGTGCTGGTTAAAACGTCATAGGTGGTGTACCAGCAGAAACCGAATCAGTCTCTGCTTCTCCCCTCCATGTTAAGGTTTAACGATGCCTCTCACACATCTCTCTGACAATTCTGTTTTCTCAAGATGAAAAACAATCCTGACTTATTTTAGTCTTTCTTTAATATGGTATTTCTCTAATATGGCTCTTCTTTGTATTTCTGCTACTTCTGCTTTTCTTTTCTCAGGCAGTGTAAAATTCTCCTAGCATTATTCAGGAGGGTAAATGCCTTTTAATTGGGAATGTGTGAATTCTTGCCAGTCTTCAGTATTTGTGTGATGAGTGTGGTTCTGTGTGCTTAGTTACCTTCGGCAACTCGTCTCCTGTATCAGGTTGTCTCACTGTTTATCATGGGTTAGGACTTTGTTTTCTTCACGGTGTTGAATAGTACGGTAGGATGACTTTTTAAACATACTATTTTTCATATTAAAATGTAAAATACTCTTCTAGTTTGTCTTACCTACAGCTAGGCAACAGCTCTGCAGCAGCAGATTGGAGATGTCTGATGTCCAGCTGTTGAAGCAGTAACTTTAGTTGACAGTTTCAGAAAAACGTCCTGGTTTTCGGCATCCAGCTGTCTGTCTCTCTTCCCAAATAGCAACAGAACCGTCTCGTCTTGTCCGGTGGAGTTTGCCCATTCGGTAGGCAGGGACATGTGCATGACAACATCTTCAAGCAGTGACACGGGCACCCACCCTGTTCTTGTTAACCTTCAGGAGGTGCAGGAGCCTCCCTGTTGGGTCAGGGGTGGTTACGGGGTAGCTGTCGCTGGGTCCCGTGTCGGCAGCCTATCTCCTGGCACTTCTTCATTCCCAAACAAAACAGGCTCAGCTGCTTCGGGTGCAAACCGCAAATGGGAAATGCAGGTCAGCGTGTTCAAAGCATTTTCCAAGAGTGGAGGAACCAGAAGTCCTTGTCTTCTTTAGAGTCTCTTGATCAAAACAGGAAGTGCTAGTGACTTCATTCCTAAGCTTGCAATGTGGAAGCTTCTTGTGGAGCTTGCCCTTGGTGTCACACACCTTGTGGGTCCTTGGGAAATGAAGGAAATATGTGTGCCCAATCCACCGTCAGTAGCCTCTTGACCATGCTTTACTTAATCATGTTTGTTCTGGTTTAAACTGGGTTGTTGCAATAGCTTTACGGTCTTGATCTCAGGCTGTTCATAACAAGAGCCTTCCTTGTTCCTGGACCAAGGCGACTGGGATCAGGAAGAGTGAGTTTAACTCTTTAGGATCCCTTCATGTCATGGTTTTTATTTTGGATCTACCAGACTCGGAAGCTCTTACTGAATGTGTGAAGGGCATCTCAAAGAATCGAGCTGACTCCATTGCTGTGGAGACCGTCTGTAGCTACTGGTAACGTGAATGCATTTTCCGGCAGAAATAATGAACTAAATGGGATATCGGGAAGAGGGCACTCTAGTTATTCTCCTGGGCTTTAAATCCTCGCCTGGAGCATCTTCTGCTGACTGCCTCTAAGGCAAGCACAGGGCCACCACAGCCTCATCTACCTCTCTGCCAGGGCTATGTTTAGACTACAGTATTCCATTCACTGTTTTTGTTTTCACTGCAGTTCCTATCTCAAGTCTTTGAAAAAAATCAAAGAAATTAGAAGGCAATGGGAGTGATAATCTGGAAGTGACGGAAGATTGGCAGTTGCAGCTTTGTGCAGTGTTACATAGAGATTCCTCAAACTTTTTTTGCACCCCTCACTTTTTCTGCCAAAAATAATTCCTTACTCTCTTAAATTTGCAACAGAAATTTCCTATCATAATCTGTGGTTTTCCTGTAACTCTCCCATCTTGTCTTCACAGATTTGATTTGAATTATCAGTCTTAACTCTGACTTATAGTAGACCAGAATAACCAACTTCAGCTCTAACTTGAGCTTTTATCAAGCTTCATACTTTCCCTTGACACCACACTGCAAACTGCACCCAAACTAATTTGTTCACAGAAACTGATACAATTTTATAAGCTAGAAAGTTCAAACAACAAAGCAAATAAACCTGTTCTTTCTTCTGTTAGAAGAACTGATAGGTGATATTTTGTTCTACTAACAAAGATAAACTTAGACTCTATGTATTTCTGCATTCTCYGTGTTCCAAAGGCTATTACATTAATTTAGCTATAATTTAGCTATTCCGCTTATAAATTATGAGTGGCAAAGAGATTGATCTGGTGACAACTTTTTTTTTTCTATAAACGTTCAAGTGACAGAAATTAAACAAAAGTTTTATGTTGCAGCTAAGTAAAGGTCATATCACGAAGTTAACATAAGGGTTTTTCCCTGTGCTTCGCCTTAAGTGCTGCCAATATTTGGGCTTGCTGGGAAGAACAGCAATCAAAAATGGAAAGAGAATAGAAAGGATTGCAAGAGTGAGAGGCTGTAAGACATTCGACACAGCTAATATGTGCATCTGCATTTGTCAACAACAAAAAAAATTTCCTTGTCACGGATGCCCTGGATTGTTTTAAATTTTTGCTTTGAAGGTGCTACTTTGACAATCGTCATTTAGTTTCTATCCTAGTGATAGCAGTATTCTAGACTTCCTGAATTTCTTCTTTGATATCTTTTTGAGGATCTGGTGCTTCAGCCCCCCTCGTTTGTAGATTCAACTTTTCATCCTAAGGAAGCCTATATATGGAATTCTTACCCACACTGACAGCAATTTCTTTGTATTATACAGCCAAAGGCTCTTGAAAACTAAACATGTCATATGTGGGACCATTTGAGACACAAAAATCTCCTTTCTATAGCTTTTTCCTAGTGTTTCTCTATTTGCTGCTGTGCTTGTGGAATATGTTCCTTAATAGTAAGTAAAATCACCCCAAGGAGCACGAAGGGCGAAGGATGTGTGAATCAGCTTGACTGTCTTGACCTTGCTGATTATTAATCTATGCAATTGGGTATTTCTGAGCCTTGTCAGCGTGGCTTATTTAGCTTTTTATTTATTTTGAAGAGCCTGGAGTAGGAACCGAGAGAAACCTGAYGGGAAGAGCAAGCAGCGCCCGTGTTTATTGCTGCGGGGAGGCCGGGCCGAGGCAGCCGGGCGCACAGTGGCCGCGGAGCCAGCAAGTCTGCACGCGGCAGCGCTGGCCGCGAGCCACGGCGGCCCCCGGCCGCTCTCGCCTGCTTCACGTCCACAGCGCGGAGTTGTCTCGCCTGCACTGCCGTTTCCTCGTGGGATGAAGCTGGGAATGAGAGCGCTCTCTCTTTTGCAGCAGTCCCATTGAAAGCCATGTTGTGTGCTCCGCGGCGCTGTGCTGCTCGGAGGCGAGTTCTGCTCCCTGCCTTCCCACGGGGCAGCCCGAGGTGCAGCCTGGCCCGGCGCCTCCGCGCGCCTCCCGGTTCTGCCCGTGCTCACGTGTGCCGGGCACTGACAGGCCAGGGCATGGACACGGGAAAGCAGGGTCACTTTGTCACGCGTTCTGGTACCGCTTCAGGTTGAGCGGCGGGGGAAAGAGGGACTGTCCTGCTTAGGTGCTGTGACAGGAAAAATACGCACGGTAACCACCAACCCAAAACCCCTTTCTGGAGAGCTCCCTGTGAATCTCCCAATTTGCACAATCATCTGCACTTGGAAGGCAAAGTGTAGCTGGGGATTTCTTGTTGTTCACTTGTGTTTTGGCAAAAGTTACAGGTGTAACAGAATTAAGCAAATATTAAGCAATCTAAAGCTGGGGTGCTTTTGGTGAGGTGTGTTATTTTCCCGTTCTTCCTCCTGTCCAAGGACATTGAAATAAATACTGTGTAAATTATGAAAACACTGTTGTAAGGTTGCTGAAACATTCGTTAGTCCTATTTATAGTACTGAAAGAAATCTTGTTGTATTTTAGAAACCGTTTCCTATAAAGGCATGTATTCTTTTAAAGATACTGGCTCTGAATTTAGAGTCTCAGGATTTATTTATATATTTATTTTTTAAAAAACAGAGTAGATCAAGGCCCAACTTTTCCTCCTCTTCACCCTAGATATTTTGTTGGTATAAAATAACTGTAATTCAGAACCAAAACATGCAATAGMTCTAGTGACAGATATAGTATGGCAGTATAGTATGACTATATAGGCATATTTTCAATAGTGACACATGAATATT